CGTTCATAGATGATCACAGAGACATGTAAGAAAGACTGTGTTATTTGAGAGCAAAGAAACAAGCAAGCATATGATTTACAAGTAGCTTGCTAAGGTAAGTAGGGACAAAATCCAGTGTGCTTGTATATGTTGTCTACGTTTTAGAGCACTGGAAAAGAAAAGGAGAATGATTATAGTGTGGAATGAACCCAGGTTTCTTTTTAGTTCTTCAAACATATGCCACTTTGGCACTTCCTGCCCCCTGGCAGCAGAATTGTCAAGCTTTGCCAGGAGAGTAACACCACTTAGCTAAGGAGCGCTCTTGAAACAAACAGCATTACTTTGTGAAGTGTAACTGCAAGAGACTCAAGAGAATTATGGACTGGTGATTATTGTAATACAGGAAGGAACGCCCACTTTCTAATCATCCCTATGTCTTGAGAGTCCATTCCCATATAGTAATCATCCCTCTTCCTTGGGAGTAGCAAGGTAAGGCTGAAGGACATCTGGATAGTGCCAACATCTGCAGCAATGTCTTGTACTGTGAATCTTGCTAATTTACTCCATGTTCTGCATATATGGTTGGGGTTCATCACAGATGAACACTCAAAAGCTGTAGATGGAAACCAAAGAGTTAGTTTACAGGCCTGAAGTTTAACATTCTGCCACGGGTGCAGGGTTCAAATGGGGGTCTGTCTAAGATGGGTGTCCCCTCCCAGAAGCACTCTAGCCCCTCACACCTGTCCTTCCCTCCTGCCCCCTTCAACTCTGGGCCTTAACTAACTGCCACCACTCTGGTCTGGGGTTCAAACCAGGGAGGGCCCAGAGTACCCCCCCTTTACCCTTCCAAACAGCACCCCCACACTAGTGAGGGCATTAGCAGGTAACCAATTGAGCTTGATGTGAGAACCCAGGCAGATTAAAAGAAACAGTTTTATTATTAAACAAAGTGGGTAGTAACCAAAACTGGGGGACAGCTTTCTAGCTTTCAAGGCGTTCTAGCCTTGAGGGGAACAGCTTTCTAGGTTGCTAGTCTCCAGGTGGTGGTTGGAGATTTCTTGGGATTATATCTGATCTCCAGCTGACAGAGATCAGTTATCCTGGACAAAATGGTTGCTTTGGAAGGTGGACTCCATGGCATTATACTCCACTGAAGTCTCAGCCCTCTCCAAATCCTGCCTTCTCCAGGCTCCACTCCAAAATCCCCAGGAATTTCCCAACCTGGAGTTGGCCACCCTAACTTTAACAGTGGATATGTTTTCAACTAACAGGGCAAAAGTAACACAGAATGGAGCTGGCAAGAAAACAATAATGCTTCCTAACATGGCGGTCTCACTCATCCTTACTGTACCTGGCCCTTCCCAGAGGGACCCTCTCCATCTGGCAACAGCCTCCCTGCCACTCAGCTCATGAGAGAAGTATGCCTCCCTCTTGAGGGGGACCCAGGCCTGTAGTTGGGGAGGCACCCTAGGGGGCAAAGCCCCCTCCAAAGTTGCCCTGCCCCGAGCCACCTCCCCTCCTGGTCCCTCCCTGCCCCTGGGAGCATGGGGCAACCAGCAAGTGGTGTGACCCACCCTAGCGCTAGAAGTCTCGCAGGCAAGGAAGCCCCTTCTTGATCCTGGGGGGGGAGCCTTTGCACTCCCTATCTCTCTGCAGAAGAAGATTGCTGTCCCAGGCAGGAGGACGCAGGAGCCACAACGCCGGCACAGTACTGCCTTGCAATTCCGGCCCCACGTGCATACCAGCTCCTCAGGTTCAGCCACGGTGGCCACCTCCATCTCCAAACCAGGGGCCACCATAAGCACACAGGCACAATTGAAGAAGGGCAGGGCGATACACTGGAGCAGGTGGGGTCATGCAGAGATTCCTCTATCCTCCTGAGGTCTCTGCAAATGTGCGCCTTTTTTGCATGCTGTCTTGCAGACTCTACGCTTCGGTGTCCTCACTGCTAAAGCGCTCCTTTTTGCAGTTGCATCCATTTTGAGTCACCCATTCCTTCAGCCGGTTTACATCCAGCTCTGTGGAAGAAGCTGCGCTGCAGATGGAAGGACATCCTTCCCATTAGATTTGTTGCTAATATAATTAATGGTGGTCCAGTTAAGCTCCTCACTCCCGGTCTTTGCCCCCCACAGGAAATTTTCTGGCTACGGCACTGGGGGGGGCCTTATATTATTTCTCTCACGGCCCAGCCTCCTTGGTGGATTGCCCTTCCCTTTCCTTACAATTTCACCTCAGTCCAATCACAAGGCTCAGAGGGGGGCTGGGAAATGTAGGCTGTTGCAAACCTTACAGCTTCTTTGAGGCCTATAGGCTGCTTAAACTTTATTCTTAGGTCTAGGATCATGAAAACTTTCATACTGGAAGTCTTGTGTTATCCTGTTTAGCTTGGAGAAACGACGACTGAGGGGTGACACGCTTGAGGTTTATAAGATTATGCATGGGATAGAGCAGGTAGAGAAAGAGGTACTTTTCTCCCTTTCTCACAATACAAGAACCCGTGGGCACTCAAATTGCTGAGCAGGTTAGAACGGATAAAAGGAAGTACTTATTCACCCAAAGAGTGATTAACACATGGAATTCACTGCCACAGGCAGTGGTGGCGGCTACAAGCATGGACGGCTTCAAAAGGGAATTAGATAAGCATATGGAGCAGAGGTCCATCAGTGGTTATTAGCCACAAGGTATAGATAGGGGCTCTGGGACAAGTGATGCTCTGTCTTCTTGGTGCTTGGGGGGGTCAACAGTGGGAGGGCTTCTAATGTCCTGGCCCCACTGGTGGACCTCCTGATGGCACCAGGTATTTTTGGCCACTGTGTGACAGTGTTGGACTGAATGGGCCTTTGGCCTGATCCAACATTGGCGTCTCTTATGTTCTTATGTGTAAGACAGCCTGAGTTAGGGTCCCACTTTGAAGACTACTTCAGGCTTCTTCTTTGCAAGGCCCTTTAGCTTTAGAAGAGGGTTAAAGGGGTTAAAATTCACTCTGGATCTTTCTTCTCTCTTCTCAGATCTCTCTGCAATTTGTTACAGAAAGTCCAGGGAGCACAAGGTCCTGGGCCTTGTGCTGCCCCTAGGGATCCCAAGTCCCCCCGGGGGTCGGGGAAAACCCCGCCCCAGAGGACCGTTCCCCGGCGGCACTGGATCAGGCCCCGGGGGGAACTCCTCCCCAACGTGCACGTCACCCGGAAGTGACACGTGCCCGGCGTCATAACGTCACTTCCTGGTGCACTCCGGGATCCACCCAGGAGTCCCCCGCCGCCAAGGTAAGTTCCAGTTGGCAACCCTAGCTGCCCCCCTTTTGAAGGAGTTTTTGGAGCCCTGCCCACCCAAGGAAATCTGATGATAGGGTTGCCAGCTTTCTGTTTGGAAATACCTGGAGATTTGGGGGGGGGGTTTGAGCCTGGTGAGGGCAAGGCTTGGGGAGAGGGACCTCCGCAGGTTACAATACCATAGAGGTTACAATACCATCGAGTCCTCCCTCCAAATCAGCCATTTTCCCCAGGGCAACTGGTCTTGGTTGTCTGGAGATCAACTATAATAGTAGCAGATCCCCAGGTGCCACCTGGAGGTCGGCAGCCCTACAAGGATGAGTAGTCCCACGAGATTTTAGGTGGGAGTGTGGCCCAATTCCTGGCTGGGGAATTCTCTAGACTATCTTCCCAGCTCATTGACTAACTGGCAGGCAGGCAAGCCCAGCTATTAGGTGTGGCTCTTTTAAGGGGCCTAGTGGCTTTACTGCTGGACCGGCCAGCTGGCCTCTCCCCAAGCATGGCAGAGATGGAGCCACATTGCTGGGCCCTTTAAGTGGTATGGCACACAACCCCCAGCTGACGAAGTGGGTAAATGTGAGGATGGGCTCCCCCAACCCTACACACCTTGTTTGAGAAATGCTCGTGAAGTGTGCTTGGATAGGCTAACAAATGGTTTTGTAGCAAAGCAGACATCCTTGGGATTCACATCTGGTTTGACAGGAAGTTACAGGGATAAACTCAAGATGGAAGAAGATAATGTGAACGGTCACCATGCAGATTATAAAAATGCTTTTTTTTCCTACAAAAAATATAATGAAAAGATGGACTAACCTCCTGGAGACAATTCTTTTGGGCCTGGTGGCCACAGGCCTCAACTAATAAAACAAATATTGACAGGATTGCCCTTGTGTTGGCTGTAGCTAGACTGGAGATTCCTGCACACTGGAAAGACAACACTCTACTTCAGTGCATGCTTGGAGAACCCAGTTGTGGGATTACTTTTTATTGAATAAAATCTCTTCTTATAATGCCAATGCTCTGACAGAATGTCCTAAAGAAAAATTTACTATTTCTCGTTCCAAATAGTGGAATATCTCACTAAACATGATATTCTCAAAAAAAATCATTTCTAATGTTTTGCTTTATTTCTAGTATGATTCTGATTCATTTTGATTTCTTGGTCTAGGTGCAAGAAATTATGGGATGTTGTTTAATTTGTGATTTTGGATGTGATTTAGATTTTTAGATTTGGGTTAGCACTTGTTACATTTCTACAATGGAAATTGTCAATGGATTGTATTGGGTTTTGAAGCATGTCTGTACTCTTAATGTAATTGTTTATTGTGATATTTCTTGTACACTGAAATTCTGTGAATTTCACACTGGAATTATATTTATAAAATGGTTGTATATAGGATGATTGGATGGCCTAACACTGGTTTCAAGAAAAAAAAATCTATACACTTTAAGGGTTGCCAAAATATTCTATTTCTATGAAGCAACTGTACATTGGTGTGTGATTTGATTGTGTGTTATTAGACAAACAGGCACAGAAATGTTTAAAATTGCTAAATCTCTGTAAAAATTGTAATCAGACCATTTTCTCATGCTACCACCACAGCATGAAAATGTCTTAATATAAAAAAGCAGAAGACTGGTAGATTTTTTGCTATTTTTATTTACTCTTTAGATAAGGCACAAGTTAGTTGCGAATAAAAATTGTCTTTTTATCTGAACCAGAAAAATTAGGTTAAAAATAAGGTGGGGGGAATTGGGGAGGGGGATAGAAATCAGAAGCATAACAAATGCATGTTGCTCTCTGGTTACATACACAGAGAGATTACAACTAAGGTTTTCCTTTTTGGGGAGTCAGGATCAAGCTTTGTAAGTGTATGAATGAGTTTTGATTCTTCTAGATCATCTAGAGTGTTAACTGTCTTTAGAAAGCTCCAGACCAGAATTAATGAGCAGAGTTTTTACTGTCCATTTTTCAAACAAATGACTTGAAATGTGAGAAGGCACATGTGTCTGTATTAAACATAACTGGATCTTTATTGTAAACAAGGTATAAAGTACAATATAAGAAATATTGTGCAAAATTTTAAAGTAGTCACAAAATAGATATTACACCACTCTCCAGAAATTTATTCTTCAACAGTAGTGTAGAAGATGAAACAGAAATATCACCAAGAAAAATGGCTTAATAATCATGGTGTACTAATTTGGTGTCTTGACACCCTTTAACTTCTCACATAACCTTTTCTGATTTAACACAGCACAATGCCTTCAACATATATTTTTTTAATATCTTCCAGAGTAATATTTTCAGAAAGTAGCATAGCATACTACTCTTGTCCTTCCTTCCCAAAACAGCCTCAGTTGGCTCTTAAGATTACATTTTTAACAAAGTGCACGGTATCAAGATTTTAAAAATTCAATGGTATAGAATGTCATGGTATCAATGAAACCGTAAGCAATGTAAAAGAAGTCACATCAGAAGATGCTGAAGTACAGCTGATAGTACTAACCATGATGCCTTCAAGAGTAGCAAAATACTATTAGACTTGCATGATAACACAACAAAGTGGATCCACTTTGGGTGTTCCAACCCCCCCTCCCATTCACGTGACATCCTGAATCAATTCTGTGCTTAATGTTTTACGTTGGTGTAATTAACTATACTTGATATGCTAAAGGATGGAGATAAACAGGCCTAATCACAGGAGGGTTTCTGATAACCAGAGTTCCACCAGTCTGATGACTGGGCCTTAAAGCAAAGGCGAATGAATCAAATATTATTTGCTGCCTAAAAGAAAGTTACAGCACTTTGGTAAAACTGAACGTTATCCGGTTCTGTACCAGACCGATATTCTTCTCTGGTTCTAAGCCTAAACACATACACATCGCTCTGGCTTAAAACTGGTTGATCTATAGTCCATACAGTTAAGTTTTCCCGTGTTTAAAGCTTCACACTTGCTTGACACTTGCATTTCCCCTTTCCCGACACAAGAGAAACCTACTGTCCCATGTGACTGGTTTTTCCAGGAGACCTCAGTCATCGCCCCTGTCTGTTCTAACAGCCACCAAAGGCTGACACTGTAGAACCACAGACTTATTTCAGAAGCTGGTTTGACATCACTCCAACCACAGTAACAACAGTTATTTGACAGTGTCTTCAGATGGCAATACTTCACTGTGTAGGTGCAGTAGTAGGTGGTACAACAATATCGTTTAGCTTGCTCACTTCCATTTGCCAATTTGGTAACTTCTTGGCTGATAAGTGGCGACGTGCATGTTTCGTTAAGTGGTCACTCCTCATGAATCGACGATTGCACATAGGGCAGGCGAATTTTTTCTCACCCGTGTGTGTTCTACGATGGCGAGACAGTTCATCAGAACGCGCAAACCTCCTCTCGCAGCCTTTCCAACTACAACTGAATGGCTTCTCTCCTACAATACAAACAACAAAAAGCAGAGCCATGAGCATTTCTTTACTAAGAATAGGTAATATAGGTGTTTAACTGTTCAAAGTGGAGGGGAACATGTAAACTTTTGCAGGTGAAATCAGCACCCCTAGGATTACATGTAACGTAAGAACAAATGCAGCCACCTTCCAGGCAATGCTCCCTCTAAGCTGTGGAGTCTTGTGAGCAAAAATTCTACTCTGTGAGTTACTGGCATTAAAGTTGTAAGCGAGCGATTTGGCTACTGCATAAATTAGTTTGCTCTGTAGCCGTCTTTCCTTAGCTAAGACAAGGATGTTTGAGCCGGAGGCTAAAAAACTGTGAGCGAGCTCACACTAACTCAGCTTAGAGGGAACACTGCTTCCAGGCTGAATTCAAATCACACTTTGACTCAGTCTTCACCGACTGTAGCAGCAATATGATGATTAACCAGACATTTTTGCGTGAACATGCACGAAATGCAGAAAGGCTGCACATTACAACTGTTCATGAAGAAAGCAGCTAGTTCTGACCATTCAGAATCCCAAAGGTTCACCTCCCACAGCCACAGCAGCAGGCAGGAAAGCCTACACTGGGTGGGCAGTTTTTTCCCTTCTGATACTTATTTGGAGCTGTGTGCTTTAAAAACTCACCTATTTCCTGCCCCGCTCACTTCTGGAAGAGCAAGAAAAGCTGCTGCCAGCACTTCAAGCCATTCCAGTCTGCCTTGCTGGCTGGATTTGCTGTGGGACAGTAACTTTAGGTGTAGACTAGCTCTAAGATGCAACTCACCTTTGATCAGAGTCACCCTCTCCTGCCCTCATGCACTTACCTATTCCTAGCTGTAGCATGGCTAGCCACTTTCTAAAAGTAACGACAGGAATTAGAGTTTGTGGTTTTTTTCCGCAACAGAGAAAATGCAGCAGCTTTTTCTAGTTAATAGTTCCTATTTCACCTATATAGTCTAAAAATACACAAATAATTAAAAAAAAATGAACTGGGACATCCTTGGTAAGTTTTCCATCATTCCCAAACCTGTAGAAAATCTCATCGCCAATATGGATGACATAAAAACTCCGTTTTGAATTTGATATTGTTTTTAATTACCTGTGTGCGTTCTCACGTGGGCTTTCAAATGGGAACTCTTGAAATAAGTTTTCCCGCAACCTGGGTAGTTACAAACATGACTTCTTATTCTCAGAGAATCAATGGATGGAATGATCTTTGTTGCAACAGGAGTAAGACCTGGAGCAGGAGCAATAGGAGAAAGTCTGGTGCCATTAGGACTGATCACAGGAGCTTTTGGATTCTGAACAACAGTCTGGGGGACAACAAACATAAGAGCTCCTTTGGGAACCTGGGTTCCCATTAACACCATAGGCTGACATAGGTTCAATGGCAACTGACTGCAAGGGGTGCTGGGAACTACTGCTGTCACAAGTGAGTTGTTAGCAGGCATTGGAACCATCTGGCAAACCAACGGCATAGAAGGGACTCCTCCAGCTTGCATAGGAGACGTAGGGACTACCAGTGAAGAAGTCTGCTGTGCTGATCCATGGACTGGCAAGCCACTACTAAGGAAAGGATGAGCAAAATGCACTGGGTTACCAGTTAGCATTGGACAGATCTGATCTTGCACGCCCGGCAACTTGCCATTTTCAGGAAGTGTAGTATTCAGTGACACATTTTCACAAGAAGCATCTTCTCTTGATGTCACATTGTCCTGTGGAGTTGCTTCCTTCCTGTTATCGTCCTGATAATTCAGAATGCTGGCTGTTCTCGCAGGACAGGTTCTGTGATTACAAAGCTGGGCATCCGCAGTGTGGCGAATAACGCTTGTTGCCTGGGCTTTCAGCTCTCTTGATGCTGGGACCTTCTCAGTCTCTTTAACAGCAGCCAGAGAACCTTGACCAGATATGTCAGTAACTGACTTGCTCTGTACAGCAGATGGAGCTAGTGCTGCTGGATGGATTGCTTGAGACATTTCAAAGTCTGAAGGGCTGTAGGGTGGAGTCAAACACTAGAAGAACAAAAATACGGTGCAGTGAGATATCTATGCAGTTTAACTACTTAGTACAATCTATGAGCTGTAATAGGTTATAATCACGTGCAAAAATACTTCAGAGTAAGTATCAGTGAATTAACCACAGCTTACTTCTGAATGAATATGTATAGGAAGGACTATAAAATAAGTAGTTTTAGATAATAGAATAAAGCTTACAAAGGCTGATATCGCATTAAAGTCAGCAACAGGCTGCGGGTTATCTTCAAATTCTTCAGATATATCCGACGCTGGCGTTATCGGTCTCAGTTCAACATACTTTCTGAAGTCCGATTTCCAACTGCAGCTCATGGATATCAGAGCTTCCACTGCTTCGAAATCACTTTTTTCAGTAGTATTGTTCCAAGAACACTTTTTAATGTGCTGCTCCATTCCTTCCTGTGAGAAAAACAGAAATGCTTTTTAATGAACTACCACCAACATTGTTGAAAAATAGCCGTCGATGCTTATTAAAAACAGTTGAATTTAACCTGTGAGGACTAAGCTCTCACCAAACTAAAAGTAAACATGCATTGGACTGGGCAGACAAAACATTATATGGAGCAACTCCAATGTTTAAGAACTATAAGGACTATTTTTTTAGCATAAATATCATAAAGCTAGTGACCATACACAATAATTGCCCTGATTCTACAATTCAGCACCAGACTGAAGACAGATCTAGAAACCTCATCCACAAGATAATAAAACTACAGTTCCTGATTTTAAAGTAATTGTCTTTTTGCTGTCATGTCATAGCTGACTTATGGTGACAACCAGGGGTCATTCCGTAGAAAAAGAGGTGCAGGAGCTCATTAGCATAAATTATTTGCATATTATAAATTATTTGCATATGCCACACCCCCTGACATCACCGGAAGTGTGTCAGAAGGCAACACCCACCACTCAGGCTCCACTGAACTGTTTCGGATTGCTAGCTATGGGGGGGGGGGGAGGAGGGCGGCCCTGCCACCCCGAGGCGGGAGAGCTTGTACCTGAATAAAACTTGGGCTTAAAGGTGCCACTGGACTGTTTTGGACCGCGGGGGGTGGGGGGTGGAAGGGGGCTCTGCAGCTTACCTGGCTGCTTCTTGCTCTGACTGAGGACTGCTGGGAGCAGGGGGTGGGGCATGTTGTATGTGCCTGCCCCCTGGGCTCTTTACTGCCGGAGCTCCGCTCCTGTGCGTGCCTACAGGAAATGACCCCTGGTGACAACCCAGTGGGGTTTCAAGAGATGTTCAGAAGTGGTTTGCCACTGCCTCCCTCTGCATCATGACCCTGATATTCCTTGGCGATCTCCCTTCCAAACCAGAGCCAACACTGCTTAGCTGATAAGACTGGGCTAGTCTGGGCTATCCAGTTCTAGTTGCCATTAACTATTATACACTTTGAAAAGTATAACCTGGGTTATCTAGGTTGTCTAAATTGGATCACAGCTGAGTACCTCAGTCCAATCAAGTTCTGATTAGATCCCACAACTAAGCAGAGATGATTAAGTAGTTTATGGATCAAAACCTAGAAAAATCTGTTATTATTTTGAAGGATTTGTTTTTCTTGCAACTATTTTTAACCAGCTAGTCTTAAATAATCAACAAAAAGGGAGTCATGTAGCACCTTAAAGACATTTTTTTTTCATGGGCTAAGGTCCACATAACACATACATGAAGTGAAACTGGAATACACACATAGCAAGGGAGGGGGGATTATGTTGGGTTGAAAGGCAGTGAAATGTAAGTTTGTGACACGAAACTTACAATAGCTGTAACTGTGTGTAAACCTACCCAACAATGAAAACCAAGTGTACTTTATTCTGTATTTTGTGTACTTTATGGTACTACAACTTTGAAGCACCCCAGTAAAGATTAATGAAGAGCAGATAATGGTATTAAACAGTCTTTTGCGCAAGTTTGTTCTCTCCTCTCCAAACAGGAGTCCTGCTGCCACACAAAATTGTGGTTACTATGCCACTCCCTTGTGTGTAAAGCACTTTTCAGTTGTGCCCCTGAATAGGTCTGCTGCATTCATGTTGATTTATTACGTTTTTTTCTTCTGGAGAAATCTGGGCAGTATGCGCATACATGGTTTCCCACCCAGGCCGCAACCTTAGATGAGTTAAGCCTGGTAATGTTGCTGCATCATGCGCCTGCAAATCGTGTTCTTCTGTAAGGGTTCCTGTAAAACCACCCCTATACGCACCCTGTAGAGGAACCCTGTCGATTAGCCTGGCTAGAGAAGGCTATTATCGAGACCTATGAAGAGCAGAGGAAAGGCAGAGCGGAATAGACAAATATCCGCTCAGCCAGCGAGATTGAGGGCGGCTGAGCCGGGGGCAGGGAGATCCTCGCTGGCAGCCGGATCTTGGAGCCGAGCCACGCTCACCTCAAAGAGCCTCCAGCGTGACTCACGCCGAACATTCCAAACAGCACGCACTCTAGCCCAGGGAACGCCCCCGCTTTTCTCCCATTGGCCACCCAAGACAGCCAGCTCAGGAGCCGATTGGCTGGCACCTCCCGAGGAAGGCCGCTCAGTGGGAGGAGACATGTGAACAAAGCGTGATCAGCGACTGCTCGCCGGCGCTGGGGAAACGTGAACTGGGAATTGCCGCTCAGCCACCTTTCACCTACTTCTGCCGAGCTCGCCCTCCCCGCTCCGCCCCGCCCCGCCCATCTCTCTCCACTCCCACGCCGGGAGGCCCGGCAGGCAGGAAGAGATGCCGCCTGCAGTTGCCGGGAAAGGCTGACGATGCTCGTCCGCGTATATCTCGTTGCTTTCAGCCGCGCGCAGAGGCGTGGTGGGACGCGGCGGCCTTGTACTCCCTTCCCCTCCCCAGCTTATGATCTTTCTGCAACGCAAACTCTCGAGACGCACCCACCGCTTCCTGCGGCAGGACGAGAGCCAATTAAAATGGCAGGGCAACAAAACCCCTCTAAGCCATGTACGTTCACCTACTTCCTGCCCCAGAACCTGGTGGGCGTCGGGCAGAAAAAGCCTGTAGACCTATGCGCGCTTAACACACCCTCTTCTGTGGACTTTGCCATACCTGAGCTCATGGAAACTAATTACCTTAGGCGTGCCTAAGCGCACGAAATGGAGCTGCGAATGTGGACATGGCTACCGAAACCCATCAGTTTAAGTGTGTTTCGGGCTGCATTGATGCCGTCTTTTCCTCGGGAGTAAGCGACAATGAATTTAATCGGTTCCGCAGCAGCATTTCCCTATATCTCGGGGAAATGAAGGCGGCACAGATAGGGTTCCCAGGAGTTATCCTAGTACTGGTAAGGCGGAGACCTGCTCAGCTAGGGTGCTGCTGGATCATGCGCCTTCGAAACACACCCAGTAAGGCAGGGGGGTGGAAAGAGAGAGATGCAAACTATGCACGTCCTTCTATTTCTTGCAAAAAGAAGAGGGGGAGTCCCGCCAGGACTGTCCCCCAAAGCTCGGCGGGGGTGGGGACGCAATCGCAGAGCGCGAGCAGGGATGAAGCACAACAAGTTGGCGCCGCTTTCCGCCTCGCGAGGATCCCTGGACCATCTGCAGTTAGCGCGCTGCTCTTCGGCTACCTCCCCTCCGCCCTGCCTCTCCTTTTGCTTTCCAGGGCCATCTTTTGCCCGCCCTCCAGCCTGGCCTCGCCCCCATGAGGCCCCGCCGCTTCTCCTCAAAGCGCCGGGCGGGCAGCGTCACTTCAAGCCTCGCCCTGGACCGAAGCTCGCGGCCCCCGGCACTGCCTTCTCCTGTTACCTCGCCCATCCCCCCCCCCCCCCCCCCCCCCCCTCTCACCCCCCCCGCCATGAGGGCTTTCTGAAGCAGCCGCTTCCCCCGCGCCCACCCACATCCTGTCTGCCGCCCCACCCTTTTCTGAGCGCCGCGCTCATTCCTGAAAGGCCCCGCCGGCACCTCGCTTTCCCCTCGTGTCCTTCGCCTCGATTCCCACGTGAGGCTGGCTGGGGCCACAGAGCTCGTGCGGGGCTTTGCACGGGGCACCGCGTCCAATTTAAACTGGAACGTCCCTTCCTGCCTCAGCCAGCGCCCTTAAACCAAGCTGCATATTTTAATAGTAATAATAATAGTAATTATTTTTTTTTTGTGCCTCGCTCAGTCGTGGGGGTTTTCTCCTAACGCCTTCTTTACACAGCCGAGTTGTCAATCCGCCAAGCACTCCCCATGCCTCTGCCTGCAAGCTCCCACTCCCCCCAGACAGTAGGCTCTTCTCCACACCTTTCTTTCCCAATTTGGGGGTCGCCGGTAACCTCTCCCCCGGAAGCCAGCAAACTTTTAAATAACACCCTTTCCCAATCCCAGTGTGTTGCCTAGCAACTCATCCTCTCTCCCGCACCCCAGTTCCGAGTCTCCTCACTGGAAACCCCAATGTTCCCCCTACCAAAAAGGGCTCCCCCTTCTTTATCAAAGGAGACCCACAATCTTTCCGGCAAACTGTAGTTCAGGTTCTTTGATAGTTCAGACATAAAAATACTTTTAAAAAAAAAGTCTCACAGGACATTCACTCAATCATCTCTTCCTGCATCGCCTTCTTGGAAAGACATATTCTCTTGCATTCCCCTGAACAGCGAGAAGCGCACCCGCACAAACCAGCTCCCGGCTAGAAAGTGGGTGTTTTGTTCCCCCCGCTTGAGCCTCGCCTCACCTCACCGCCCCAATTTCATCTTGCAAGCATTCGAGACAGTTGTACTTACAGCTAGCCGGAAAGGAGAAGCTCCAAAATTTAGCATGGCCTTGCTCGAAGTCTGTTGTTTTCCTCTCCTGGCAGGCAGCGGCAGCTGTTGACAAGCGCCTTCTCCCCCCGCCCCAGGCGTTCTCTGCTGGATGCTGCCTTTATTTTTCTCTTTTTGTTCGCGGGCAGCTCCCCATTCAGGTGGCGGCTCCCCAGCTCGGCGTCGGGGGAAGGCGGGCGCGGGACGCGGCCAATCGCCGGCAAAGGTGTGTGAGGCCGCGACCAATGGGCGAGCGGGGGCCACGCGTGATCAGCGGCTGCCCAGCGGCGTGGAGAGGGAGTCAGCCCGGCGTGTACATAAACGCGGCAGCGTGTCCTGGCGCAGCCCCTGGGTAAGTCCCCGTTGCTTGGCTGAGTCAGTGTCACGTCCCTTCCCGCCCCCTTCCTTCTCCGGATCTCTGTGGGAGAAGGGGGGGGTGGGCTGCGCCGAGGATGTTTTGCTTAGTAAGTGAGACAGATGGCAGTCAGGAAGGGCAAGCCGGAATCTGTTGTCTCTTCCCCCCACACACCCTACTCGTTCTGTAACGAGATAAACAGGGCTGATAGTTAAAAGGTTTGGACCCGGATTGCTAACCCATGTGGTCCTCCAAGCTCTGGACATTGTTTTCTCTCCTCCGGCATCATTTTTTAATGAGCCTAATGAAATGGTGTCTGGGACTTGAAAGTCTGCACATTGTTTGGTTGTTGCTCCTGCTAAAAGGATTTACCTGAACATTCACTTATACTCCGCCTTTCTTCCCAATGGGAACCCAAAAGCGGCTTTCATCATTCTTAACTGTTCCCAACAACAGCCCTGTGAGCTAGGTTAATTTTATGGGGTGAGTTCTGGTTGCCATGCCAGGTCCCTCCTGGCCACTGGTGGGGGTGGAGGGGTAGGGTTGCCAGATTCAGGTTGGGAAACTCCAGGAGATTCGGGGATGGAGCCTGGGGAGGACAGGCACCTCAGCGGGGTACAATACCATAGACTCCACCCTCCAAAGCATCCGTTTTCTCCAGGGGAACAGATCTCTGTAGTCTGGAGGTGAGCCTGGAGGCTGGCATCTCTAGGTAAGGAGCCCAACGTGGAGGCAGCTGTAAAGCAGGGTCTGTCGTTTGAGGTGTGAAAAGTACGCAGACAGAGAGTGATTTCAGCAAAGCGTACTTTATTCAATCAGGAACAAGACAACTTTGGCCGGCTTGCAGGCCGGCTTATATCCCCCGAGAAACCGCCACCCAAAACACACCCCTACTTCCCTATAGGTTATTTACAGTGGCCAAGAGCCCCATAGCCTCTCGGCCGGGAACCTAGCCCCCTGATTGGAGCGCGCTAGGATCCGAGTAGTCCATTGTCTCTCGGAGCGAAGCTCG